TTGTATGCACTGAAGTTCGCTTATGACGCCACGGCCTTGTACGTCGGTACCTATATTCTAAATTTATGTTTTAATCTATGTTCGTCTATGTTGTTAAAAGATTATTGTTCTGAGGAAGATAAAAATCAAAAACAAACAGCGTTTACTTTTTAATTTAATAGCGAATCGTGAATACTTGGCAATCGGCCATTTGGCGTGCCGACTGACGGGCATGTAATATTTAGCTGTCAACCATGTTTGGTTGCTTTTTATAAGGGGTGCTTTTTATATACGACGTATGTCTTTCCTTCCGATTACAATCTATATGAATAGGCTTGTGTTACGCCAATACAGTGCAACCTACCATCATTTACCACCAGGTTTAATGAAGTCAAGCACAGGCCTATAATAATTAAAACAATAATACACATAAACACGTTTACACTAATCAATAGAATCAATCGTTATTTTATGGAAATCCATTATCTTGTCTTCTTCTTATATATAACAATCATTTGCTTTTTTAAATTAAGTATATATTCTAAGTCTATGTTTTGTATTAGTGATAATAATCTAAGGTGATGTAAAAAGTAGTGATTTATATTCTTTGGTGAACACGTTTATGACACAGAACACCAACGAGTATAATGTACTCAAAAAAGTCACCAAAATAATATATTATTTTGGTGACTTTCTTGAATAATAAATTTTATTGTAATTTATTGTAATTATCTCCGATTAATTACAAGCATGTTATCCCCGCCGGCACCAATAAATTTGTTAATTGCATTTTTAAGTGCTGATTTACCACGTGCTCGACGGTGAAGGAAAACATCGTGAGGAAACCTGCATGTCTGAGAAATAAGAAAACAAGACATGTGAAGTTCGCCAACACGCATTGGGGCAGCGCGGCGGACACATTTCATTGCCCTAAAACCCACTTAGAAATGAGGGGAGGCCTGTGCCTAGCAGTGGGACGTTATATAGGCTGTAACTTTACTTTACTTTTATATGTACGTTATACTCGTGTAGTGGCGGTGTAATATTATCCACTACACCATATCGTCCCGTGGTTGTCGTAAATGGCGACAGAGGGAAACGGAGCAGAAGATGGCCAGCAAAATAAAAGACTGCGGTTTCCAATCCGCCTGCCAACCGTGATAACTATGGCAAACATGGGGGATATTTACTGTATTTTCCATTATAAGGTAATCCATGTGAGAGGCTTATGTTGAGCAGTGGACTATTTATGGGCCGTAATGCTACGCCCCCGCCAAGGAGGGTCGCGGCTTAAATTCCAATTCCTCCCCCCCCGCTTTCCGGATTGCCCATATTTGCTTCGGGCGCAAAAAAAAAACGGTGTGTTATTATTTTGTAGTGCATCAGGCATGTTCGCCGATGCGCATACTGATGAGTACTTCGCGATCATGCGTAAAAAAGTGGAGTCATTAATGCGCAGAGTGAGAGGGATCTCGAATAGTATGTTGAGGGTCTTTGCGGAGAGGCTCGATGGCCGGACACTAGGTAGGTTTGTCAAGCTACATGTACTAAATAGATCTTGATAAATCTATCAATTTGTATGCATTTTGTAAATTTTTTATTTTGTTTTATTTCTATTGTGTTTTATTTAATTGTTTCGTGTACTAACATTAGTTCTTAAGTTTTATCTTATTACTAACATGCTATGGGCCTACGATGCCTGAAAAATAAAACATTGTTGTTTTATTTTTATTTTTTATTTAATACTTCAAGGTTTATTATTATGGGAACAAAACATTGTCGGGAGTTGTATTTGCTCCGTGGTCGGGAGTCGTGATATCACTACGTGATACAGTCAGGTAAACGTCGCACAAGCTAATTTCTATTATCAAACGCAGAGTATACAATCATCACGTATATGCTCTCTGTTCTAATATAATTATATTGTATTTCTATTTTGTTATTGTATTTTTTCTAAATAAGTTACCCATACTAGGATTTTCTCCTGTATCGCAGTGGCAGTTTACATACATAAATTTCACAAGAACAAGCATCCAGACCCGGAACAATTAGATAGAAAATTTGTAGTCCATACATGTATTTTTTCCGTGCGAGTTTCGAATCCACGGTCATCGGCGCCGCAACGCTGCGCCACGAAGCTATTATGTAAAGATGTCCATCATCTACCACGCTCCTATTAATCTGCGGTTGTTTGAATGTTAATTTTTTATATAGAATATGGGTAACAAACGAGCATATCTGACGGTAAGTGGGTACTGTGGCCCATAGACATCAACATTTTATCCTCGATTGAGATTCACAATGCAAATGCTTTGTCACCTATGAGGACTAAGAGGAAATGCCTGGTTTCCAGAAAAAGGGTCTCCTTTTCTCAGCACTCACCATACGAAACACAGCAGCTCTAAGCTGCTATTTTATGCTGGTATATTGTGAGAGCGTGGTTCTTCCCCAGTCGAGCCGACCAATTCCTGCAACCACTATAATATAGTCGCAGGATGGCTATACCACGAATAAAAAGTTATTTTGTATAATTTTAAATAATTAATATTATATGTAATAAATATAAGCTTTTCTTAATCCGCACGAGATGTATTGAAAATTTAAAGAATAATTTCTCTATTGCGTGAGCACGTCTCACCGGTTTAAATACAACGATTTATATAGTACTATTTAAATCTTTGTTTAAATAACGTTAAAACTACCTAAAATTGTCACTACTATTCACAGATTATCTGTGCTACTATTACTACGTACAACGGGCGCGTTAGTAATTGGCTCGTATTCATTAAGATAGGGATTCAAGCCTATTATATATCTAATATATATATATATATATATATATATATATATATATATATATATATATATATATATATATATATATATATATATATATATATATATATATGTATATCCGGTACGCAGGTTAAACCAAATTTAAAGAAGTCTATTTAAAATGAGATATTATTTTACAGAGGAGGGGGGCTAATCGGGGGCAAACGAGCATGCGGTTCGCTTGGTGGTCAGTGCCTACGAGTACTCATGCACACATGAATCAAAGACTGGCGTCACTATGAACGCTGCGATGTGTTAGCAACACGGTATCTGGGCCTATCAAAGATATTTTAGACCTTTAAAACATCTTGGATTACGCGTACACCGCCCACGTATAAAGGCGCAATTACACTTGGTCCTTAGCCCGCTTTCGGGTGCACGAAAGACGTTATTTAATTCGGGCACCCGAAGCATTATTTAGATAACATTTTTTTTCTCGAATACGGGCAAACGACTCTGCGCCCGCGTTCGGTGAGGTACGTGTCAACGTACGCAATGTCATCCGCCAAAACCGCGACGAGTATCTTGATTCGGATAACCAAAACGAAGGCGGGCTTACTCGTCTCCGTTCATTTACACTTAGTCGTTTGTCCGAATTCCATAGGCAATCGAATACGGGCAAACGACCAAGTGTAATTGCGCCATAACTGCAATAGGTACGTACCAAAGGAATTGCAGCTATGCGTTGCCGGCATAAAAAACCTAGACTCTTTTCCATAGGGTCCTTAAATTATAGCGTTAAGAAAAAAACGCTAGTGGCAGACGATTCCACAAATACTTCGAGTGAGGAAGAAAACTTTTAAACAATTAAGAAAACATTTAAAAATTATTGACAAATTTTGTACATTTTCTGGGATTTTGTCGTAAGAACGTATACATTGCCCCATAAATGGATTACTTATTCTGTGGAGTCTAGTAACTAGTATAACATCTTTATTTGTTCAGATTTCTGTGTGTTTGTTTCTGATTTTTACGGTATGAACATCTTTATCAAAGATATTTATGTTTTTATATATTTATTTATGAAAATGTATGTAATATAAATATTTATTAAAATTTAATAAATGTTACATTACATTTTCATAATATATTGCGTGCCAAAGTTGAAAATATGTTTATTTACTTTTTTTCCTAAGGGACTCTTTATAATTTAAGTTATAAATCGCTTTTGTAAACAAATATGATATGAAAAATTAAATATGATAGAAAATTTCTATAAGACAATTACGCTATGAAAGTAACTAAAATAAACTAATCTAGCTATCAATGGTTTTAATCTTTCTTAAAGCTTATGCTGCAGAATTACGAGTAAGTCTTCCTGGTTTAGATATATGGGGGCCCCATTGAAGCTTCGCGTCAATAGTAATACCAAGAAAAACAGTGGTATCCACAAGACTCAACTACTCCTCATTTAAGAGCATATTGGTATTCGAATGTTTTAATATTAGGTATGGTAAATTTAATACATTTTGCCTTATTGCCGTTTCAGAGCATATTTATATTGTCAAAATTAACTGACTGCCGTTTGAGTTTGAAAATTAAAGAGGTATCATCAGCAAATAATACTACAAGGTGATTGTCCCCTACAAGATAAGGTAAGTCATTAATATAGATTAAGAAAACGAATGGGTCAAGGATCGAGACCTGAGGTACGCCCATTGATACTACTGATCCGGAGGAACCTTTAGCATTAATGACGATTTTTTAGTTCTGTTATTTAAATATGAAATAATAAGTCTAAGTGTGAAATAATAAGGCTGTGCTACCATCTGTTTGAGATCCTATAATTAATAAAATTAAATACCAACCCAGGCACACAACTGCAAGACTTCAAGAAACTATAAGTTCATACTGCGTAGATTAGAACAAAAAAGAATAACTTTAATCTGAAGGTAGCCATGGCTAACTATAACATTGGGACGTCGAACACCTCAGTCCCCCGTGACCATTGGTTCCGTAAAGTGCTCAAAACGTGAGGAATATAAAATAAGTTAATATACGGGAAAAACTAGTTTTATTCAATTACAAAACAATGCAGGCCGCCGATGTTGTGTTGCTCTATGACTTTAATCTATTTATACTGATTGACATAATTAATGTCAACCGTTGCCGATCATCTATTTGTGTCAGAATTTTATTTAGTAATTGAGTTTTGATTTTTAAGCAAATGAAACGGTTACGCTAACATGGAAAATAAATCTAATGATAATCGTTATATTGAACCTGATCACGAACTGCTGAATTGGGAGAAATGGGTGAGGATAAGAAAGGAAGAAATAGAAAATCTAAATAAAAAAACAGGTAGACTACCGGTTGATATGGTTATGAATTTACACGAGAAAGTTCGTGAAGATATAGAATGGAAGACTGTTTTGGAAAATGCCCAATTAAAAACCAAACCTACTTTAAGAGGCTCACTTTGGGAGCAACCGTTAAGATTGAAACAGAAATGTTACTGTGAACCTGTTTATGAAGTGCAACGAAAATGTGAAGAAATGGGAATTCCACCTATTATGGAGCATGTTGGGGTACCTCAAGATATTCTAGAAAATGAAAAAGGAGTCTACGGTATTTCTGAACGAAAAAAATGTATAAAGTTAGATAATCAATTTCATAAATACAAAGAAAAAAGGGAAGTGGAGCTTAAAAAAAAGATAAAGAAAATCGACCCGTACAGGTAGAAAGTTAGTCAATATTGTACGAAATTACATTAATAAAAAAATTTACAAATGGCATTTAAGTACCAATACTTAAAGTGACTTCTGCAGCATGTCAACCATAGATACTCTCACGGAATACTAGTATGAAATAACAGTTTAATGCTAGGTGTAGAGAAACGGAGACCTTTTTACCGGTGACAAAGCATTCTATCTTAGTCCTCAAAAGCAATAATGCATCTACATTGATTCCAAACCGAAGATAGATGTAGGTTATATGAACCACAGCATTCACTCGCTATCGGGTGTATTGCTTACTTGTTTGTTATACTTTTTCTGTAAAAAAAGCGTATCAATCATGAGACAAAAATTTCCTAAGATATCATGGCAGTTCATGTGTTCAACCAAAAAAAAATTTATTTAAATATTCGGGCTAATGTACGTAGAAATATATAAATACCCATCTTTTATTTACTCTCACAGAATACCAGCGTAAAATAGTAGCTTAATGCTGCTGTGTTTCGTATGGTGAATGTAGAGAACCGGAGACCCTTTTTACTGAAAATGAGGCATTCCATCTTAGTCCTCACGGGTGACAACGCATCTGCATTTTGATTCGTAATCGAGGATACATGTAGGTGTCTATGGGCCACAGCAACCACTTATCATCAGGTGGACTGTATACTCGTTTGTCATCCTATCCTATAAAAAAACATATTTTCAGATCTGAAATTAGTGGTTTGCTTGTTAAGGGCAATAAATCAAAAACTAGTACGAAAGTATTGCCAGCGCTGCCTAAGATTTTACTGTATCCAACAGATGATTTACCCTCAGAGGATTCGTCAAGAATCTGTGCTGTCAGAATTAATAACACTGTTCTAATCAAAGCTGAACCAGGGCAACATTTAGCCGAGCTGCGGAAAATGCAACATGAAAAGTGGCATGAATCTTGTTCATCATGGTTTTATTACTTCAATGTACCAGTAAAACGAGTAGGACGTGCTAGGTTGTTCATACAAAATTTGGGAACAGTCACATTACGTTATTGCTGGAAGAAAATAAAACAACAAATACCATTTATCCCAGAGGATACAGTTAGCCAAGTTTTTTTCTTTAACAAAAATGAAGATGTACTATCTCCAGGTCAATCAAGAGAAGTAAACTTTACTTTTGTATCTAATGATACGGGTATTTATAGTGAACTATGGGAATTGATCTTTTGCAACGTTACATGTTTTGATTCTTTATTGAGTCAACTAACAGTAAATTTACAAGCTGATTGTGTAGATGACATGAAAAAAATTCGCCATAAAACTGACTTACTAAAAGTTAGACTTAACAGAAAGGCTGTAAGAAAACTTATAAGAAAAATGCTAAATGAAGCTATTGAAAAAGCGTCTAGTGTGGAACCTCAAATATATCCATATAAGAAACTATTTTTGGAAGCTGAAATGTTTGTAATGAAAAATCCAGTTTGCTTTTATCACCAAACAGAAATAAATAAGTTAAAAGAATTTTATGCAGAAATGACGACCGGGGAAACATGGGATTTATCAATAACATCGTGGCGGAGCTCAATGATGCAGAAAGCTTTTGACGACAGAATGAAATACTACGAGATACTGCAACAATCACATTCAGAATTGCTGAAGCCTTGGTACGAAGGAAAGAGCGTTTTAGAGCAAAAGTATCATGCAGTCAAACTCATTCTGATGGAATTGGCTGACAAGTTTGATAAAGAATATTTAGTTTTGACAAAAGCAAGTAACTTAACGGAGCAGTCTGATGAAATGAATGGAATGCCTTTAGAAACTATATTATTGGTAATGATACATTCTGATTCCCATTGGATGGAACGAAAAATATTTTATATGCGCATGTATGACCATATTGCAACAGCAGTAGAAGCCTGTGTCGGCGTCATTAGTAGCTTAGATTTGAACAGGTGGATTCATTTTGATTTTTGTCGCCAATAACTGTTTGTGAGCACTTTTTAAACATTAAATATTTTTTTAAGTATATTTGAATAGATATTTTAATTCTAATGACTTTTTTTATCGCATTTTTATATAGGTCAATCCAACAAAAATGGGGTAACATTTTAGAGGCTTTTAATTTTGGGCTTGATATTTTGAATTTTATTATATTCTATGATTACATATATGACATAATACACATACTGACACAGACATAGACTGCCTCGTTGGTCTAGTGGTTTTAGTAGTAAGACTGCTAATCATGAGGTTTGAATCCCGGGTCGGGCCAAAAAAAATTTTTTATTGAGTTTTACTGTCAAGAAGTTCTCAGTAGTTGTCCGGAGTCAGGAAGTTGGCGGTGTCTCATCCCCGTGCCTCGGAAAGCACGTAAAGCCGTTGGTCCTGCACCTGACCTCTCTCTGGTCATGTCGGTTAACCGTCCCATCGGATTATGAGAGTGAGGGAATAGAGAGTGCACCTGTGCTTGCGCATACACTTGGGCACTATAATCCTGTCCTGCGCCGATGGCTAGCCTCCGCTGAGGCAGGCCGCCGTGGCCGAAATTCGGTCTGGAGGGCATTATTATATGACATAAAATAATATACATCACAGAAAATAAACATTCTTATAAGTTTTTCTTCTTTGTTAACTATGAATTCATGCTTTTTTCAACGGTCTGAAAAAGATTTTTTCATAGAATAAGGGTGACAAGTGATCACGCAGTCCGCCAATGCAGTAAGCGGGTGCTGTAGCCCATGAATGTTTACATTTGTTCTCGACTAAGAATCGAAGTGCACATATGTTGTTACTCCTAAGGACTAAGATAGAATTACAGTAAAAAGGGTCTCCGGTTCTCTACACTCAATATGCAAAATACAACAGCATTATTCTGATTTTTCACGTTGGTATTCTGTGCGTAGCATATTCCTTCCTCGTTCAAGCCGACCCATTCATACAACAGCCACAATATAGTATCAACGCGGAGCTACCACTTTTAAAATGTTCGCGCCCTTCGAATTGTTTAGCTATAAATACCTAAAGCCGTGGTAGCTCAGATGGTTAGCGCTCGCTGCACAGTACGCGAGTAACCCGGTTCGACCTCCGCCGGCACCAATGAAATTGTTAATTGCAATTTTAAGTGCTGATTTACCACGTTCTCGGCGGTGAAGGGTAACATCGTGAGAAAACCTGCATGTGTGAGAAATAAGAATATTCGAGCCATATGAAGTTCGCCACCACGCATTGGGCCTGCGCGGCGGACACTTCCTTGCCCTCATTTCTAAGTATTTTAGAGCAAAGAATAGTCCACCACGCTGCTCCAATGCGTGTTAGCAGAATACGTAAGTACACGAAATTATTTTCAGTTTTTGAGATACGCAGGTTTACTTACGATATTTTCCTTCACTGCCGATTACTTATAAATCAGAATTTGAACTTGCAATACAGCAAAGAGGTGTTCCATCCAATTACAACGGGGATGTTTTTATATTGTAACGCTCACCCCCTCTATATATATGGTACAAAAGTGGCCGTCTATACTTATATATATAATTTACATGACCAGGATAAACAAATATATTAATATAAAACACATATACCATGGGGAGTGCTCTGAGGAATTTTTCGGATTAATCCCAGCCGCCAAATTTCGTGAACGCACTACGCGACAAACGTCCCGATAAATCACCCAAATCCAATCCATACCATCTGGATGCTTGGCGGTCCACCACTGTACGTTTCACAAGGAGTTTTCTTCCACGTACGACCTCCTGTGGAATAGTTTACCACCTGCGATTTTTCCGGACCGATACGACCTGGGGAACTTCAAGTAAATAGCTTACTCCTTTCTAAAGGGCCGGCAACACACCTGCAATTCCCCTGGTGTAGCGGTTGATCATGGGCGGCGGTAATCACTTAACATCAGGTGAGCCGCATGCTCGTTTGCCTCCTCTTCTATAAAAAAATTATATTGATCCTTCCCAAGGATCATTCTAAAAGGTTTGGTTATAGGCCGTTTGTTATATTTATGGCGTGATCGTCTTAGGAACCATAATTACGTTGTGTTTGTTTAGTAACTTAGTTCTTTTAAGTGTCTCATGTAAGAATGAATATTCGCCAGAACAGTCGAAAGCTGTTGGTAGTGCCTTATAAATATTTTAAGCTAAGGAACCCCGTTCACGATAGTTCTTAAAAACGATAAGAACAATAAATCGTCCCTATTGCACTTGTATCAGGTTCACATCAAACTCTCATTAATTAATCCCTTCCCACTTGGAAACAGCTCACAATATTTATATAAATAAAATAGAAGTGCTTCACTCTCCTACATTTTTAAAAATTGGGAAGGTACACGGCTCCATGTACACGCTGTATGCAGTGAGCGTCTACCAACCAACGTGCTCTTCCCGAAGAGGGAAGTTAAGTTGGGAACTGGATCGTAGTACGCGGCAAAATAACTGGCGAAACATTACGACTGTAAGATCTTAACAGGTTAAAGCCGTTCTCACAGGTGGTGTTAAGTGGGTAAAAGTCCCACATAACGTGGAACGCAGCCGTCTGCGTGGTATGCTGTGACCACCTCCCTCCTCCGTTTCCCGGAGGATAGGCCCTCTTTGCCTCTGGGCCGCAAAAAAAAATCGTGCATGAGAACCAAACTTGTGTGCCAAATTTAAGCCCGATAGCATCAGTGAAAATGGTTGAAATATTGATTGCAAAATTCCAGGACACACATATAAGTGAAGTTAAATAAAAGCTATAGAATATCAAGAGCAAATTTTTATTTACATATTATAGAAAGGTTATTATTGTAAATGTACAAACAGCACAATGCATATGATACGCTTACGTGAAGTTTTTCTTTTTATATTACTGTAGTTCCATATCAGTTCAATTTATACAAGGGGTGATAATTCTTATTTATATTCACTATTTGTTGATTTCACAGTTTAGCCTTCACTTGTTTAACGTATATAACAGAATGTCCGGGTGGGTGCCTCTGCGTTGGTCGAACATTCCTTTCAATTGGTATACAGTCCGGTCCCTCCAATTGCCTTAAAAGTCCCAGCTGCGAAACAAAGAAACACTAGGTAAATTGAAAAATACGCGTTTCAGAATATTGCTGTTTATTTCGTGTTTTAACATTTATTACAAAATGCATAAACTATTAATACAAATTTATTAAGGAAAAAAAATTTGAAACTTTAAAGACTTTTAGTCCTATTAATTTGCCATAGAAAATATTCGTATTGGGGGTGAGGTTTCTATTTTCATAATGTTGACGATGATGATATTGTGTGAAAAAACATCGATGGAGGCTTGTTCTTTATCAAACTGATATAGTTTTTTCTGGAACGTGATTCCTAACTGGATTATAATAAGCGAGTTGGCGACCAGATACCTTGCCCCTTTGACGCTGCTCCCTTTTGGTAGACTGAATATTGCATCTTTCTTTGTATTTAATAATAATAGTTTTTCAAGGTGGTAGACTCATGCTGCAGCTATATTACTGGTATAGTTGTAGCACGAATGGGTCGGATCAACCAGGGAAGGATCACGCTCTCATAGAATACTAATTTACTATATACTATATAATACTATATACTACTAATATATAATAATAGAGTGTTTCGTTTAGTGAGTGTAGAGAACCGGATACTCTTTTTATTCTCTTTTGAAACGAGGCATTCTATCTTAGTCTTCACGGGTAACAACTGACAACGCATCTACATTTCGATTAATTATCGAGGATAGGTGTTATGGGCCACAGCAACCACTTTCCATCAGGTGGTCTGTGTGCTCGTTTGCCAACCTTATACTCTTAAAAAAATACTGACCTGTTCTGCTCCAATTTGCACAGGCTTTTCATATATGATCCAGGTAACGCATTCGGTGTATGGAGGTGTTGTTAACGATCCCTTGTAGGTAACGTAGTTGCCGCTACTTAGTTCTTCTCTATCCATCCACGCCAGGGACTCTGTTAAATGTAAATATATATTTTTTACACTAAATATTCCTTACCTTTATAGCCTATTAAAGATTAGAAACCGCAGTTTTTTTATTTTTAATCGTTATTAGAAAGACGCTACTGTCCATCTCCTGATTTCTTTACCTGTGTCGCCTCTTACGAAACCCACGAAATGATAAGGGGTAGTGGATATACTTACTCCGCCACCACTCGGTAAAAAACCTTTAACATTCTTTTAACAAGGCGTAAATTATTAATTTCATTACTGTCAAGTAATATTTCGTAACAAGTGTTTTTTTTTTAATTTGTGTATTTAATTAAACACTAAAATTTAATGAAGCAGCATAATACTGCTATTGCATTCTATCCCGTCATTGATAAAAGTAAATAATTTTGTTTTAGTACTTTTTACGTTTCAACATTATTATGTTTAAGCAAGAGATTACATGATAATACAAGTGTTACGACTATCCGATTATAAATATATCAAATATCCTGCAATTAACAGATAAAATAAAAAAAATAATAAGATGTTTAGCTGCCAGTGATCTACGGATTACATTTTGGAAAGTGTGTACAAGAGCTGTATGTACTTTTTACCTTCTCCATCATCAATTTGCTTTTAAGTGACTAATACGAATTCATTCACATTCATTCATTTCATCCTTATCTTGTGTTGCTTGTATTGACTTGCTGAGTATTCATACAAAACATTTCGCTTCTTTTTTTCTTCCTTTTTATAGAATAAGAGCGACAAACGGGCGCACATTTTAACATGCTTGGCAAAAACTTTTACCTGAAGAAATTTCAACTCCTTGTTCACTTTTCTTAATTTTTTCTAAGCCCTCGACGAACTCGTCAAAGCTTGGGTTGGGTGCATCCACTACTTCTAATAGGAAACCCACTACAGCAAGACCATCAGAATGCGCCACAGCCGCTTCTAGGGATTGGTATTTCGAATTATAGTGTACCAGATGGCATTCAGCTGCATATCTGTAAAAATGAAAGGCTTAAGTCATCTCAAAAAATTCTTAGTTAAATAGTTACTTTAAAAATCGTGATACACAATTCTAAGGATTTTTTAGCGTGACTGCTAAGATAATAGTTTTAATAGTTTTAATCAAAGTTCACTTTCCAGATTTTTCATAAAATAAATGATTGGTTTTAGTTTTAGGGTCGAGATATAATATAAAGGAACAAACCAATTTCAGGAAACTTGTTAAGAAAGCTTTAGGTTCAATAATCATAATTTATCTAACGGTACAAAACTAGAATAAAGCTTAGACATCTCATTTTTGTTAAAAGAAGTATTTGAATTCATTTTCAGATAAAGACGATTTTTCTTCATAAAACTGAAGAACCATTCTCACAGTCAACCTGACACTAAGTGGTTACTGCAGTTTATGGCCAACAGACAAACTTCAAACAAGCAAGGCTACAAATACGTCGTCACTTCTGAGGAATAAGATGATAAAGTCGCTTTTTAACGTGGTAGAGCTATGCTGCAGCTATATTAGTAGTATAATTGTTGTAGCAGGAATAGTTCGTCTCGATCGGGGAAGGACCATGCTCTCACAGAATACCAGCATAAAATAGCAGCTCATCTACAAACATAGCTATAACGAGCACTAATTTTGAAAGCGACAATTAGTGAACGATCTTTGCGGGTAGTATGTGCCTCTAAAGCTAATTAATTAAATCCAAAAGTGTTAAAACATTATTTTTACTCTTTCGAGAGGCAATTTACATACATAAATTGTAAGAGGACAAGCAACCAGACGCATACTTTTTTAATTCATTATATTATTATATATTAATTGTTATTAATAAAAGTTTTATTAATATTATTAATATAGATATTAATTTTTAATTCAGAGCATAGAAACACTTGTTCAGTTCGGGACCGCACCCTAGGTCCTGCAGTGTTGCAGTCAAACGCTTAGCCACTGTGAGTTGTAATTTATTATTTTTATTCAATTCATCACTAATATAATTGTGCGTTATTTTTGTTTTTTTTTTTATATACTTACATATTTTTGTAGCTAATAATAGTAGTATTATATATAATACAAAATAATAAAATACATTGACTTCTTACCCTGATCGGGATTATTACTAAATCGCCACATATATTTTTATAATGTTTTATTTATTTCTCATAAATCATACAGAATATAAATCTAACTTTTAAAAATATCGAAAAACCATTAATTGATAAACATTATATCGATAAAATTGTTACTATATTGTTTTCAATATTACAATTCACTTATGTTGCCAGCACTGTTTGCCAAAAATTAAATGTCATGTCTTGATCTTAGTAGGGTAGCTTGGCGCCCGTTCATACATTTACTTTTATTAAGGAAGTCCGTGACTATAATATCTCTTTGCTCCGCACGAGTGGCAAATAACGTTACCGTAGTTGTCACATAGATATATATAGATATGAACCAATGATTTCAAAAATATATAAGTCAATGAGATGAACTAAAATTTATTTGTCACTTGATAATTTTCAAATTGCACTATATCTAACTAAAAATTTCAGTATAAATACAAATGAATTAATAACTGCAGACTGTAATATTGTAGTCACTAACATATTTGTAAATAAATAGTGACGTTACTGGATAACACAGGCCACTTTTACAATAACTTTTCTTTCTCGAACAATCTACTAGAAATAATAAAATTTACAGATTATTTGGTAAATACACGTTATTCTTACGATAATAAACCGAAATCACGTACATTTTTTGCTCCATATCGTGATTTACAATACTTTAATGCACAACCAGGCATATTTTCTTTAAAAATATTTTTAAATTTATAAAATGAATGCGTCTTGACCTTTTGACGATGTCACTTAGACTAAATGACAAAAATCGGAGTTATATTCTATAGGACAAAAGTTATTGACGATAATGTTGTTACTGATGTCCGGTCTATTACTACCTATTTAAATGTCTTTGATTTAAATGGTGCGCACAAAGAGATTTAAATATTTATAAATACTTAAATGTCTTTGGGTGCGCAGATTCTTCATTTCAATGTCCCAACTTCAATAAAATATTCTTTTATCATTAATTTATAACGTGAGAAATTTAAGTACCTTTAATATTAAAAAGGAACTGAATGAAATTTTTGAATATTTGGGAACTGTGCCATAGATGAGCACAAAAAAGATAATTATGTGTGTACGTTGCCAATAAGACAAGTAATAATAATGCCTCCATACCGAATTTCAGTCACGGCGGCCAGTATCAATGAAGACTAGCCATCTGCGCAGTTGGCGGAACATCATTGTGTGCACGGCGATGTTCCGCCAACTTGCCTGACACCGGGCTTCACTACTGAGAATTTCTTGACAGCAAAATCAAAGACTGATTTTTTAACTCGACCGGAATTCGAACCGGAAAGCGGACAATATGATTATTGTCCGCTTTGCGACCACAAGACCAACGAATTTTGACCACAGGCGGTATTAGTAAATTGATTGCTCTTACATCCACCTTCGCCTCAAGAAGAAAGGGACGCAACGAAACTCTCAATATAACGAAGATTATCGGTGCCAGCACCACGAATCAACATCATCATTATTACGGCCCTTCACAAGTCTACCGTTGAACATGGTCCTCCCGCAAGGAATGCCACAAAGCACGGTACTGAGCCACTTGCCCCCTTCGACTTCCTGAATGTCTTACCAAGTCGTCACTCCATCTAGTAAGGTCCGCCCTACAGCTTGCCTACCGGTACGAGACTGCCACTTGAGAACATTTTTTCCCTATCGGTTGTCGATTCTTCGAGCTATATGGCCGGTCCATAGCTACTTCAGCTTATTAATCCGTTGGATTATGTCGGATAACCTGGTTCTACTGGGGATATCCTGATTTTTAGGTGTATCACGCGGAGAAACCCCGAGCATAGCCCTCTCCATAGCACCTGAGCGACCGCTGACGACGTTTAAGTTCATAGGTTCATCGTTGTGCAATCTCGTTTTCAAGTTTTAAGGTATACCTGACAAGAAAATGTGTTGCAATTTCCCGAACGCTGCCCAGGTTACTAGAATCCGTCGACCCCTCGGTGGAAGTTGGACTTACCTACTCGGACTATTTGTTCCAGGTAAACATATTCCTCAACAACTTCGAGCTTAGTGCCCCCAACAACTACCGGCATATATGTGATATGGACGTTACACACAAAGTTTGTTTTGTCCATGTTCATTTTAAGATCTATCCTTTGTTAGACACTATTATGGTCATTGAGCATAGTACTTAGATCCCCAGCGATTCTGTCAAAAGGACTATATCGTCGGCAAATCGAAGGTGAGTGATGTAATTGCCATTGATGTTAATACCGTATCCTTTCCAGTTCAGTAGCTAGAAAACGTCTTCTAAGCGGTGAAAAGTTTCAAGGAGCAGTACGTAAAAGAAAAATAGAAAAAAGTAAAATATGACTTCAAAGAACTAAAAATATTAAAATAATTTAGCGTATGATAGTTATTACATTTTTTTATAGAATAGGGTGACAAACGAGCACACAGTCCACCTGATGGTAACTGGTTGCTGTGGCCCATAGACCATCTACATCTTTCCTCGATTACGAATTAAAATGCAGTTGCGTTGTCATCCGTGAGGACTAAGATGGAATGCCTCGTTTCCAGTAAAAAGGGTCTCCGGTTCTCTACGCTCACCATACGAAACACAGCAGTATTAAGCTACCAGTTTACGCTGGTATTCTGTGAAAGCGTGGTCCTTCCCCGGTCGAGCTGACCCATTCGTGCTACAACTACTAATATAACTGCAGCATAGCTCTACCACGTATAATTTTAAAACCATCTATTTTAAGGACAAAGAATAAAATAACATTAAGTTATTTTGTTCTTTGTCGTCAAAATAGTTAATTAAAAAAATCATCTCTAGTTTCCAAGTTATATAGGACTACTTATGTGGGTTCTATTCTTTTCTCCAAATTTATACCTATCGAACGGCCCTTGAAATATAATCTGCTTAAAAATATCATAAAAGATATCGCGTAAATACTTACGTACAAAAAAGCAAACATACAGACGAATTGACCTCTCGCATTTAAATCTATTTAATAATAATATTGCTTTGAACTCATATAGGTATTGCGTTTATTATAAGTGTCGTGTTCGTATAACGCAAGCAAGAAAACCCTCCAGCATGGAGATATAGAAAAACTACAAGAAAAAATCCTCCGCAAACGAACCACATACAATTTATGATTGACGTCTTAATATCGAATTTGATTGTGAAGAATTAGTAGGGATTAGTGTTATCTCGTAGGTATATAGTATTTATCTTAAACCTTTAATATATTATCTTTTACGGTCTACTACATCCAAACATAAATCAGATAACTGCGGAAAAAACAGAACCCACAAATAGCAGAACAAACCCACAAACCGAAAACAGAGAGTTGCCCCAAGGCGGCTGGGATTAATCCGAACAATTCCTCATAGCACTCTCCATGGTATATATGCGAAAAAAAATGCAAAGAGATGCAACATCTCTTCGCAGTGCCAGTGAATCGAGCCGATCGGAAAACACTCGGTAGTCGACGATTCGAGCCGCTCTGCGCTGGATGCGGTCAAGTGGAAGGAGCTGGTACTGGGGAGCCCCAGCCCAGAGCTGGGAACAGTATTCCATGTGCGGCCGAACCTGCGCCGTGTAAAGTTGCAGGCGGTGTGCCGGCTAAATACTGTCCCGCTTTGCTGAGCTCGCCAAGCATTTTAGAGGCCAATTTGGCCTTCTCTTCCAAGTGACCACGAAACTGCACGTCACTCGATATGTCGACGCCGAGGATTCCGATACTGGCTGAGACAACAAGGGGAGTGCCTTGAAACTGAGGAGATACGACAAAGGGGTTCTTTTTAGCGGTTAACGCGCAAACTTGTGTCTTCTGGGGGTTAAACTGGACTAGATTTAGTCGCCCCCAATCCGAGACTCTGTTCAGCAAAGACTCGACTTCAGACACAAGTTTGTCCCCGCACTCGGAGACGTTTTCCCGAGAAATATTGGCTCGGCCGGTGTAAAGAGCATCACCAGTGCTGTCATCTGCATAGCAATGAATGTTACGGGTTTGCAACATATCATTGATATGCAGAAGAAACAGCGTTGGCGATAGCACGCAGCCTTGTGGAACACCAGCATTAATAGGCTTGCAATCGGAGCTTGCACCGTCTACAACGACCTTGATGTCCGGATCTGCAAGAAAGCTGGTGATCCAATCGCATAATTTCTCGGGAAGCCCATAGGAAGGGAGCTTCGAAAGAAGCGCTTTGTGCCACACCCGATCGAAGGCCTTCGCAATGTCCAAACTAACGGCCAATGTCTCCACTGACTCTACTGCCTCCGCCCATCTGTGAGTTAGGTAGACCAGAAGATCACCAGCTGACCGACCACGGCGAAAACCGTATTGGCGGTCACTAATCAGCTGGTGATCCTCAAGGTACCTCATGAGCCGGCAGTTTACAATGGACTCCATTGTTTTGGAGAACAAGGAGGTGATGGCGATAGGCCGGTAGTTGGACGGGTCTGAGCGGTCGCCTTTTTTTAGGGATCGGGTGGACGAAAGCCGTCTTCCATGATTTTGGGACTACGCCTAGGGAGTAGGAGTACCGGAAAAGACGCGTTAAAACCGGTGCCAACTCTGGAGCACACGTCCTCAGCACAATTGGGGGATTCCGTCAGGCCCACTCGACTTGTGGATGTCCAGGTCCTTATAGCATGATGCTATTTTACAGGAGCGACCAAACCATGGCTGAGATTTGCCTCCAATGGGCACCACAGAGGAAGGAATAAAAAGTTCCATACCCTGAAGTACCACATCAGCGACAGAATCCGCAACAACGTTGGGATCGTCCGGCGAGAAGCAAACCCGCCCCCAAGGGTAGGATGCAAAGAAAGACCGCATTTAAGACCGCAAGACCTATTTTAAACATCAATGTGGCGGAATTCCACTTCATAACTACTAGTACTTAATTGCTACCTAGTCTTAGTATTTAATTGCTCCCTAGTCTGGAGTGCTAAGTTTATCTCTGCATAGATAATAATATTTGGTAGAGTAAGTAGGTATAAAAATAAGGTTTACTAATCTTGTAGTTTCAGAGAAGAGAATAAAAAAAGTTTCAGATATTTTTTTAAAGAATTACATTGGAAACACCTGAATAAAATATGGAGGTAATACTGGAAATATACCAGATAATATTATATTAATTTACTTGATGTATTGTGTAGGCGTTTAATATATGATACTCGAAATGTACTTTTATTAAACCCCTACACCATTTTTAGGTTTTCTTTCAGATAATTATTTCTATATTATTTATTATATATTGTTAGGTATAGCAACTATTTATTATATCGTGATAAAATAATACGTGGCTGTTCAGCCTATTTATGGACAGATGTTTGGAAATTCTGAAAGCTGAAGAATGCGGGTTAAGAATGGGTGAGGTAACCAAAAAATGCCATTTGTACGCCGATGATCAAGTTATATTTGCATCGTCGGCGGCCGAGTTGCAAATGATGGTTAGATTAATGAACAGGTCGTTAAAAAAGGGGAATGAAAGTGAACGCAAGTAAGACGATAGTTATGGTTATTGAAAGAGAAAAAAGTAAAACGATGTGTGAAATTCTCTCTATCTTCTATTCTTCAAGGAGAGTTGGTCGAGCAAGTAGATGAGTTTGTATATTTGGGATGCGTATTTAGCAGGGATGGAAGATATGATAATGATATAGAACGACGAGTGAACGCAGGAAATAGAGTAAATGGGGTTCTACACTCAATTGTGGAAAGTCAGAATGTGTCAAAAAAGGCACGTATGGCAATTCACAATGCTATGTTAGTCCCTACTTTAACGTATGGTAGTGAAAGTTAGGTATGGCAGAAGAAGTACGAGAGTAGAATAAACGCAATAGAAATGCGGTCGTTAAGGAGTATGTTAGGGCTGAATATGAGTGACAGGGTGAGAAATTCTGTAATAAGCGAAGAGTGTGGTATGCAAGATGAAGTTGTGACGGGGATTAAGAAAGGAATGCTTCGATGGTTTGGTCATGTGGACAGGATGAATGAGGAAAGAGTGACAAAGTAAATTTATGTTGCAGAAGTGAACGGCAGAGTCGGTAAGGGACGCCCTCGGCGAAAGTTTATCGACCAAATTGGCAATCTATTGAAAAGGGACTAAATTAAGAGTACTCTTAACCGACGAGCATGTATGCGTAGGTATATGGATGTAGAAGAGGCGAGAGAGGTGCGTCAGGATCGTGCCAAATGGAAGTCTGTAGTCTCTGCCTACCCCTCTGAGTGACAGGCGTGAGTGCTTATGTATATGCATGTATGTATAGTAATACCCACCGACAAAATAATGCAACACATTTTATGAAATAAGTAATTTCGTTATCAGCCCTCTTAGGTCCACTGTTTGATACAGACCTTTCTGAGAAGTTGCCCGTTAACATACATTACTAAGAAGAGTCTTTCATGAACATGGATATTGCCTACTAAAGTAGGGAAGTATTAGCTTTGATCGATACCTACGCTTGACAAATGGAATGTTAGAAGCAGGACCAAAACTTTCATATTTGACGTTACTCCACTTCGCAAATCGAGGTATTTTACTTCTGGCTTACAAAATCTGTTTACCGCCTATTATAGAAAGCCTAGGTGAAGGTAAGAGCTTGTTTGGCATTTCTCGTAGTCGCCTATAAGGACACTGATGGAGGAAATGAGGTGATACGTATATTTCGCCACCACTTGGAAGAGACGCAGATACATATCATACGCTTTTTACGCGGGTTTTTGTGTGAAAAGCTGAAACCTCCGCACTTGTAAAACTGCCCCATCATCGGTATAAAATTTGAGATTACCTTTTGTGACATTAGATTTTCACCATTAGTTAGTTTTTACTTGGTAAAGCCACGCTGTAGTAGTAGTGGATAAATATAATGGTTGCAGCACGAACGGCTCGTCCAAACAAACGAGTTTTACGTTGTAGAACTACGCTGTAACTTTATTATAGTTGTAGCATGAATGGGTCGGCCCGACCGGGGCAGGACCACGCTCTCAAAAAAATTTTTAAGAGTATGTAGGGTATGTATCTACGTATATTTCTTTGGATACAGATATCCTAAGCAGTTTGATGGATTTGAATTTTTATTCGATTCATTAGGTTTCATTAGCTTCATCTAAGTTGTGAAAGTGATTTAAGGTATAAAATTTTTCTTTTTCATGAAACTTTTTCATGCAGTCGAGTTTTTTTTAATTACTGTTTTAACACTTAAGCTCTTTGATTTTTTTCCAAGTTGACTCACCCGTGTCCATCAAGAACGTGTTCACAGCCAGTGAAATCATCGACAGACCAATGAAAGTGCATCTGTTCGAATATGTATTCACCTAATAGTGGTCCGCCGCTAAGACGAGGTCGTGTTGCTGCGTCGAATGTGAAATACGCTGTAATAAAAATACATTTTATTTGATAATTCAGGAATAAAGGTAAACTCCGGATACATCCAATTCTTATAATAAAGTACGTTGTATTACAGGAATATGTGTAACTCAGAAGCGCTCGCTGTAATATTCACAGTATGCGAGGGACTGAGTTCCCATCGGCACCAATTAAATTGTTAATTGTAATTTTAATAATAATATTAATTGAGGCGACTGGGGCTCCGTGACGGACTGCTGCTAAAGTCGGTGCTCCTCGATACCGCCCGCATTTTTCTTTCCCTTTTCCCCTAAGCCTCGGCCGTTTGGTCTCCCCTGCCGAGGGCTTCCATCTGGTTGGGCTTTTATTTATTTATGTATTTTTATGTATTTATTTTATTTATGTATATTTATCATTTTCATGCACAATTATACAATATGTAACAAAAACCCTGTGGTTCCCGTTAATTGTGTTATCAGAATCAGTATCCAAGCGTATAGAAGTAATTTAAAAAAATAATAATAATTTGCAAATTGTATGTGGTTTTATTTCCTCTAACTCACACGAGTATCGGTAATGCGGGATCTTTGACAATCCTTTAACTTCTCGGCCAATGCAGAGATAATAAAACCACATACAATTTGCAAATTAATTTTTTTTATTAAAAATTTTTTTAATGTGTTTTTTTCGAAAAGATTATTTCTATATGCTTGGATACTGATTCTGATCACGCAGTTAACGGGAACCACAGGGTTTTTGTTACATGTTGTATATTGATGGAACTCAACAAGACGAGAAGACTATATATATATATATACCCCAATAGTAATAGTAATAAAATATTTGTTCATTGACCAAAAGTAGCAAAACGTTAAAAAGTTAAACTACTTAGTACAAAGATAATATTGTAAGAAGGACAATGAATCGGTTCTGACTTCTGACCTAAGATGTTTTTAAAGTTAGTTTGAAGTTAGTTTCCTTTTTTATACGTCCTTGGTTCTGACTCAGCATGTGTTGCAGAGAATCTACAACGCTGTTATTCTGTCAGCATCCGTATACTTATTAACTTTAGTAAAACAACAGTACGCGTACATTACTGATTATATTGCAAATAGTAATTGATTTGTTTGATCATTTATTCAGTACAAGAACCATTTAATCACTCAGTACAAATTTTCATATCGTTACTATTACCAGACGACTAATTAATATTAAGGGGAAATATAATCTCAAATGGCTTAGCAAGATCCTTAGTTATGCCGAAAATATTGCAGCATTAATTTTGAAATAAATATATGGTAAAGTTGAGGATTAATGTTAAGGATTATGTTAGACGAAAACACGATTTCGTAAAATTGTCTCGATAGAAGAAAAAAACAAAGTTACCTCCAAAATAAAAAATAAACCGCTGTTATTAGTAAAATACTTTAAATAAATGAAACTTTGCATACTAACTGAACTAACTATAAAGCAGTGCTTATGTTATTTCCTTTTTTTAAAATACCATTATTTTCACTGTAAAAAGAAATTACCTAAACTATCGGCCTTTTGAAGCGTGATTCCTGCCGCACGGGTCACTTCGCTTCGGCCTTTGAACGGGGAGGTTGTGTCGCTTACGATCAGAATATACATTACGCAACAGGACGACGTAAAATTAAAATGGTAAATAACCGTAATAAAAATAAGAAGCGGCTGGCTTGGCGTTAAGAAACAGGTATAAATATGATAAACCTAATGAAATGAGTATCTAACGACCTTTCTACTTACAGTATTAGTGATTACAAACATGTCGGTACATAGCATATGACGCGCGGGCAAGTGGGGACGAATATAGAATTTGAGCTGACTTACTCTATCCCCTTAATGTACAAGAGAAACCAAAATATAAGCAAAACATATGCAAAAAATAATATTAAAAGTAAGAGCCACAGTAGTGTTTGATTTATTCAGACCAATTAATTATGATACATTTATGCGGTAATTTACCACGTGCTCAGCTGTGAATAAAAACATCGTGATAAAACCATAATGTCTAAGAAATAAGAAAAAATATATTTAGAAGAGATGAAGTTCGCCAACAACGCACACACGCACACAGCGCGGCGGATATTTCCTTGCTCTAAAACCCTCTTAGAAAAAACAGGGGGTCTGTACCAAGCAAATAGACATATAATACAGACTATGGGAACGTGTGAAGGTTTTTAATCAATTTTAATATTATGAATATAAAATATAACTTATAGTTCAGAAAAAGATATTGATCTCCATATTTTCCTAACAATTTAACTTCCCCACTATGAAACCTGTCAAATATTTCACCTTAAGTGGCAGTGACGCCGCCGTGGTGGCACATATTTTCCTTACAATTTAACTTCCCTTTATGAAATTCGTGAAATATTTCACTTTATTTTTGGAGTGGCGCCTCGCTTTTAACAGAAAAAACCCTCATGGCAGTAAAGGGGTTTTTAAAAATACTTTGCAAGATCCATTAATAAATGAATTTGCTATTTTACTTATACAATTAATGAACGTGTTTGATTAAAAATACAATTTTATTCCCAAAAGTAATGCTTTAAATTGAAGATACAATAGTACGTAAAGTAGATTGTATAGAAGTAGTCTGTATTTGGAGTTACTGTATACGATGTGTACTTAAATTGTCGAATTTTCTGATATTGCATATCAGGATTCCTTTGTTAGACATACTTAAAACAATTGACACTACAGACAAATTTAGAGTTTTTTTTTAATAGTTATTCTATTATATGAGTACTCTTAAAAAATCTTACAAAAATTGCAAATTTTTTAACATTGAGCTATTATGTACTACGTACTAGAGGCGACACTGAATGCAGCTACTCTGTTCCACTCAACTGCGGTGCATACACCGCACTTTAATCAGTTACTCGCTAGGCGCTTGTAGAGTTGACAGGTGTTGTGTTGATTTTAAAAAAATCTCTTGATAAAAATATACCGTCGTGTGTACTTAGGTATTGCACAAATAATTCAAGAAATGTCGGTAAAATAATAAGATAGTTAATCAATATAAAAGGTTTATAGATTAATAATAAAACAAATTATTCCTAAGACGCCACCTCGTGTCATGGAATATAGACTATGAAATTAATATGTTCAGATGCGACATTTTTGTGGGTACTTAAGTATAAGATGAATGTATTAGTATACACATTTTTTTAGTAGAAACATATATAAATTATTATAATTAGGCAAAATTTTTCATGTTTAAATCTGCTTATTATTCTTTTTATTTTATTTTTAGGTTTCCACATCAAAATCAAAGTGGTATAAACTCGTCCATTTTTAACTCTCGCGTGCCCAGCATTTATGAACGACTCTTATTCTAATTTAAATAAACATATTTGTAAATTATATGTTATGTTAATAAGTTATGTTAAACATACATTTAGTATGTTTTTTATATTTGACATAGATAACTTTTAAAATATTCAGATAAAAATATCATTAAAATGTAATTGTGATATAAAGTAAAGTAAAGTAAAGTAAAGTTACAGCCTATATACGTCCCACTGCTGGGCTCAGGCCTCCCCCTCATTTCTGAGAGGGTTTAGGGCGAGGAAGTGTCCGCCGCGCTGCCCAAATGCGTGTTGACGAACTTCACATGTCTTCGAAATATTTTTTTTCTTATTCCTCAGACATGCAGGTTTCCTCACGATGTTTTCCTTCACCGCCGAGCACGTGGTAAATCAGCACTTAAAATTGCAATTAACAATTTCATTGGTGCCGGCGGGGATCGAACCCGGGTTACTCGCGTTCTGTTATATTTACAGCGAGCGTTAACCACTGAGCTACCACGGCTCTTCTTTTGTTATATAATATTATGTAATATTAATTGCGATATAATATTATGTAATAGTATATTAAATAAGCAAATATAATATACAAAATAAATGACAAAATTTAAATATTGTTCTCGATATAATTTACCTATTTAACAATACAATCTAATATTACCTACTAATCATTCTACCTATGTTTATTCTATGATAAAAAAACAACCGCGCGAACACAGAGTAGCGCACATTTTTTGTTTGAGATAGCTGTTCTAGTACGTAAGTACATATTACTTCAATGTTTTTTAATCAAAATATACCTACGCCGTGAAAACGGTGTACGAGAATCAAGTCAACATGATCCTGTAGGTGTAGTAGAAAGCATTTATGGAAATGGAAAAAAGATACCTATCATAATCTCTGACGATTCATATTATGAATATATTACCATATTGAATTTATTAATAATAAGTGACGACGGGATCCACTATCAAAACGGCGAGATGTCTGGTATTGCCACTAATCCGCCTGCTTAAATGTGATCTATGTCCAGAATAAAAAAAGAATACAGAAGGAAAATACTTAACATATTATGTTATATTCATCTTGTACTTACTCTGTACGAGAATAATTTATGCTTTTACAACAAAATCTCTGCGACTTCGTTCCGGACACATTCCGTGTAACAAGTTTGCTTTCATGATGAAAAAGAAACAATCTCCAAATTGCGATAAGTACATGCAAAACAATAGAAGATTTATAACACTTGCTCGCGGAATGTTCCAAAAATCATCATGAAAGGAAAGTATTAGTTGCCAAAACTGATATTAAAATTTAACCTAGGGGAATATCAAAGCATTCTGTCTGAATCATTGTCTAATGCTGCTCAAATTGTATATTAACTTAGTTAATATTTTGTGTAAATAATTTAAGAAATTGTAGTGTGTTATTTAGTTATAAGGTACAATGGGACTGACATGTTAAAAATAACCTAAGTCCGTAAATTAAAAAAAAAATCTCAGAAAATATACAAAATTTGATCTCCTCAAAGTTCAAAAACATTAAAACAAAGTTTGTATAAAAATGGATAATATAATATTAAGGAATTTGTGAATGATAATAATCTTTGGGAATGAG